CTTCTGTTTCACAACCACATGGACGTTGATACTGCCTCCCTGCACAGATTCCTTATCAATCTACTTCTCTCTAATCCATGTCAAAGACTCTCTGTGCTGGTTTGAGAGCCATTGGGAGTACATCACACTGATGCACCTATTTGCAGGGAATCAGTCTTTTTACGTTGATTTTCAGGGAATCCGCAATAAATATCGATGTTGGCTTATACAGTAAAACTCAGTAGAGGTATAACAACATAAACTGATTTTAGGTTAAACTGTATAGCCTTTCTCTTCATTCTAACTTCTTCCACCATTCTTGAATCTTCCTCCAACGCTGTCACTGTGTGACAAATTTTTGGTTTTTCATTTACGGACTTGTCAAATTGAATACATCTGTTAAAATTACGACCAAAATTTTTTTCTAACTGTTCAAAAATAATGTTCAGTGTTAACGATTTTTTAATGGTTTAAACTCCAAGGTCAAGTTAAAAGAAATATTTATATCTTGGAAATGTCTTATCAAAATGAATATACGTGGGATTTATAAAAGCCCTAGCATCAACTGTTCAAAAGTAATGATCAAAGTTAAAGTTGGTTAAATTCACTACCTATGTTTACGTCTTAGGTTTGACGCGGTGATGCAAACGAGAATCGAACCCGGGCCTCCGGATCACGAAGCGAAAGGTCTACCACTAGACAACTGTGACCGATGTATAGGCTGAGAAAGATATTGAAATATATAGCCTTAATTTGTTGAACACCATGAAATTATATGGTGACGGTGCTGGGTGTAATCGCATCATCTCGGGTCTTTCCGTCAGAGCACGGAAAAACAACCTCGAATGTATTAACATCACCGGATGCTAAAAGTTTATACATTTTCTGTTTATTCAAATATAGGATAGATTGAGTTAGAAGTCCCCTCTATAGTATATTGTATGTAATATCATTACATTGAATAAAGTTGAACTCCATATTCTACATTTGAAAGGTCTCAATGCATTAATTTCAAAGATCATGAAAAGCGGGAATTGTAATGGCGTCTTCCTAGTACATTCGAGGTCGCTAGTCGGAAAAACCCGAGAAGTTGCGATTGTGCGAGTTAAAATTTTCAATAATATTGAAAAAATTGTTGTTTTATGTTTTTTACAATTTTTATAATCACATAATGGATAATATATAGTATTAATTTTATCTCATTAGTCAACCACCTTTTGATAACCCTACGTATATATTTGCCTAAACTATATTCAATGACCCTGTCAGCAAATACTGTTTATCATTGAGTCAAATGCTAAATGACGTTTTTCTTACTAATTGTTAGTCCATTATTTATACACTATATTGACGACGGAATTTCCGTTATTTCCCGATCATGACAAAGGGCAAACGGGGGTGTGACCAGTCAGCAGGGGATGCTCATTCCTCCATGGTACCTGATCCCACCTAAGATGTTTTGGAGGTCCATGTATGCTCTGCTGCTAATTTGTATTGTTTAATGGATTTTTTATCTTGAATAGTGCTCATCATCTCCATGGGTTTTAACCTAAACCTTGGACCCTGAGAATTTCCAATTATTTACGATTATTTGCACTATTTTTGATGTGCCTGAAAATGTGAGGTAATTTTTGCAATGTCTCGTGATATTAATGACGCAAAGAGGTCATGTTCTAGTTCAACGTTGATTGATCAATTTTCCAAATAGTAATTGCCCTAAAACTTCTAAGATTTCGGATTATTCTGTGTTTGATTACCATTTCACTCACCTTACGTGTATCGTGGTAATGATAGCTGAATCGTAAAAAATAAAAGTATAGGTATTTCATTTTGAACTTTCATCTACGTATATGTTACATTAAAAGTGTGAATCTAAAGTTTAAACTTATCTATAGGCAAAGATATATGTTTTAATTTAGATTTAAACTTTTAATGTTAAACCAATAAGATTAATTTAAAATGCATGGAAAGACTATAATCAAATGCCAGTTGTCTGCATAGTTCTTACAATATATATTAAACTTATTGTTTTTTAGGTCACGTGAATTCCTAAATGATAGAAATTGATTCTTTTAAAATCTAGAATAATTGTAAAAATGCAAAAGTATGAAAGCTTAATCAAAGGAAATATTCTTGACATTTAAATTGTTTCTGATCTCTGTGTTTATGTGAATTATGCAATGAAATTGCATTGAAACGCAGTTTGTTGTGCGTGCGCAGAAGACGTAACCACTTAGAAGAACAAACATGGAACCGGAAGGTACGTAACACTTTTCTAGAATGCCTCCATTGTTATCTTTGGCAAAATTTAATTCTTACATAATTGAAATTTTACATTTTCAGTATGGGAGTTTAAAGGCAATAGCAGTAAAAACAACCCGAGACTGAATACGGCACAAGATCGTAAGACAAGTTTCATAAATAGTTTTCTTAATGAATGAATTACTAATACGAGAAATGCACCATATATTATAAAAGGAAACATTACACTGATAAAACATTTAGTGCTCATTTAGGTCGAATAGGATGCCCATATTTTAACCATTTTATAATCCCTTTCTTTCATAGAAAGAATATAAGAAAAAAGAGAAAAACATGGACTTGGTGAGGTTGACGAAAGGGGGAGTTTAATTTATTCACGATAGAATTTGTCTGAGAGCAAAACGTAAGACCTCGGCTGTTAAAAAATCAGCGCTCCTACCAAACCAAACGATAATGTGTTTGATTGTCAACAACCTTGCATTGTTCATGTTCATATACTAGGATTTCGTCTAAAAGTTCAATTGTCAAGTTTTAAATATCTGGTTTCTTGGTGTTTTAAATAACACCCAAGTCTAGCAATTTGATGAAAGGCAAACACTACTGCTTAAAAATTTAATAAAAAAAAATATCAAAGTCGAAGAAACCAGGATGTTTATTTCTGAAGATTTAAAAACCATAAAAGGATTAAGATTATGAAGTATAGAATACTTGAGACATAGATAAGCATATTTTAAATGCAGTTTTTCTGTCTTTGATTTCTCATGCAAAAAGGGATATGGAAATATTAAAAAGCATACATATAACATATAGTTGTTTCTTTATCAATATTGGGCCTTCCATTGAACTGTTTATTTCTTGATTGATTTTCCTCTTAATTTCATATTAAGCAATATGCTCTTAATTTCTAGGTATTGAAAACCATACCTTTATAATAATGCTTATTTTTACACAGGAGCACGTGCAAAAACAGTGTGAAATGCTAAAAAAGATTATTTTCATACATTTTTGTTCTACCCTAAATATGCGCTAAAAAGAATAAAAAATGTCAAATCAAATTCAAAATCAAGAGCTATTTAAATTTTTTGACTTGTATCTTTAAAATGAAGGCAAATTCACCGTAATTCATCTCGCACGAAGAATTATAATGGAGCACAAAATAAATATTACCCCATTTTTCTTGTCGTATATTCTACAATTCCGACATGCATAAAAGGTAATATCTTAAAAAATCTTTGTGTGAAAATGTTGTAATTCATATTTTTTGAAAGAAATGAATGATTTCTTCATTTTAATTTTAAATTAAATTTTAAATTTTAAAAGAAAAAAAGTATACCCTTATGATAAAATAAACGAGAAATATGAAGTTTTCTTTATTTTCGTACTCTTGTGTCATAAATATTGATCTTTCTGCACTAAGGCAAAGGTAAGTAAGCACTGACAAACATCTGATAATAAAACCATTTTGCAAAAAAAGTATTTTGTTTTGATTAGTAACAATTTACAGTAATGTAATCTTTTTCTTTTTGATCCCACGATGCAATCATTCTGCCCCCCCCCCCTCCTTCTTCCCCGTCAACAACTAACACTATAAGATAAAACCTATAAATGACGTTATACAATTACATGTAAATCTCAGTGTACTAATCATCAAGCAAATATATATACAATTACATTTATTAATTTTTTCTTAGTTTTATCGAGAAAATCCAATTAATATTAAACAAAAAAACTACACATATTTCCCAGATTGAAGCCACTATCTTTGGTGAATTTTATCTTACATGTATCTTTTTGCACTTATATCAACATAATATCAAGGTATTTTTTTTAACTGAAATTGCAATGAATTATTAATCAAATTAAGAGATTTCTAAAATTAACAAACTATATTAATCTAATAAAACTGCTACTAATAATGTAAAAAGAATTCTTTTTAACAATGGTAAGCCTATATCACAGTTGCAAAAATCTACAGGTAAAAACAAACGTTGCTATTGTGACGCCACATAACGCTGCTTTGACGTAGAACGACATAGGTCTCCCCTTAAAACTTAAATTGATATCAGAGAATTATGACTGAAATGATTAAACCAAGGTATTGCAAATTGGACCATACCTTCACAAACTTATCAAAAGAGCATATATAAATCAAAGCAATATCCGACATCAATCCCAATGAAAATTCCAATGTCGATACTGGTTGGCCCAGGGACAAAAAAAGACACACATATGCACTTTCACACATTGTGAAGCGTGTTACTATATCCGCTCTAACTCTATTGAGAGGGACTAATAACGACTAATCATTTCTTTTAAAATTCTTATTTAGTAAATCGTATACATCTAGTTTTTAGTTAAAATATATTTTCTAATTTTGAATTTTTAATCCAATTATATCTATCCCCTTTCCCTACCATCATGAATGTCTATCATAAACAATTTTTGATTTGTTTTTGTTATTGGGAGACGTGCGTGTGTTTGTGTGTTTGGGGTGTTTTTACTTACAATTTAAATAACGTGTGGTGTTAACCCCATCAAATATTTTTCATGTACAATATAAATATTATTAATCTAATGTATTTGTGATAGACAAAGAAAATTATTTTTAGTTTCAGCAAAAGTAAACCATATTACAAACATGAAGAGAGACGAATTCTTTTGGTCGGAATACCTGGTTCTGGAAAAAGTGCATTTGGAACTTATTGGGAGATAAAGTATTTGAATCTAAATGCACACTTAGTGGTGTAACACGTGAGGTTATGTGTGGAATAGGAAATCGGAGGGAGAAGCAGCTCATTATATTTGATACCCCAGGGATTCATCGAAAGATGCAAGGTTCGGAGGTCGATCTTGAAAATAAATTGGTCGAAATCATGGCAAATTGTCTTTGGAGACTAAGCCCCGGATTTCATATTTTAGCCTTAGTGATAAGTCTCGAAAGAATATCAGAGGACACCTTTCTCCTGCTAGAAGAATTGGAAGATTTATTTAGAGAGGAATTAACCAAGTATGTTGTAGTAGTATTTACAAAAACAGACAACTTGGAGAGAAATCAAACTATTCCTTCCCATATCGCTGAAACCGATAAGAACTTTAAAGATCTCGTAGAAAAATGTGATTATGTTGGAATTAATAATAAAGCTACTGACAAAGAGGATATGGAAAAACAAATAACATCATTTTTTGAGAAGGTAGAACAGAAAATTGCTAAAAACAATGGCGGGTATTACACAGATGGGGATTTCAAAAAATCATACGAGCCTCTGCAGGAGGAATCAGCTATGAGGGACCTAGAAGAAAGCTATCTAAGGGTGGAGAGACCCCCTCCAATAGATGTTGAAGAACTGGCCAGATCGAAAACTCGGTTGAAGTCAACATGCTCCATTTTATAAATCGAATGAAAGCAGTATAGAATGAAAGCAAAAACTCCTGTCTTTTCATGTAATTTAGAAGTTGCCAAAAGATAAAGTTGCTTGTCTTATCAAAATTTGTCGATCCGTGACATTGTAGCCGTGTCTTTCTCTCTTTTGTCCTAAACTTTTCACATTTTCATTTTTAATTCAAAATAACCACTGAAAGGATACAACTAAACTTTGTACAAATTACCTGTTGAGTTCAAATTTATCCAAATCTTGACACCCCCCCCCCCCCCCCCGGGACAGTGTACGACCTAAATAGGAAATCAAAAATTTACATAGAAATTTAAAGGGAAAATTTCCTACTCAGAAGCAGTGTACAGTGTACATTCAAGATATAGTGATATTTATTTTAATACATCCTCGGGAAGTAGGGTTTTTCATGTGCCGTTAGACGTGGCGGACCCGCCACAATTCCATTTCTTTGTGCAACAGTAAAGAAATCAGCTCCACAGTTCCGTCACAGTTAAAATATTGGCGCCACAGTAAAAGTATTGTTGACAGTACGATAAATATGTAATATTATATATAAATCAAAAAACCTCTAAACCTCACAGTTATGTACCGTTTTCAGTTTCTAATGCTAAACTCTAAATTTACTCTTATTAGGACCCATTGTTTGGCTAAAACAATCAAAATATCTTCCAGACCCCACTGGACATATCATGCACATGAAGCCTTTTTTCACACTTCACGATGATTATAAAGGAAATTATAGATATTAAGAGACATTCTTTGTAATGATTTGAAATTTTATATAGGAGCTGTGGCACGCATAGACTCAGAATTTCTTCAAACTCTCTATGATAAAAGTCATTGATACTCTAAACTGAAATCAGACAAAAAATGGTTGCTATGTTTTATAGTTACTATGGCAACATGTCTTAAAGTTAAAAAATGGCATTTTTTAACATGTTTAGAGCTCCATAGTTAACATTTGCGGCAAAGCAAACAATTGGCAATGACTGTTTCCAAAAGTTGAAGGTCAGATGTCTCAAATGCATGATAAACATGTTTGGTAAATCAACTATTACATACGTTACTTTAGTAACAAAGTATTCAAAAGTAAAAAAAAAAATATTCATTGAATTTTATAAAGTCATACACGTAAACATAAAAAGCAATTATAGGATGAAATGTGACCAAATAATAGAAAAAAGAGCCTTGAAACATATACCAAGAACAAAATATGATTTCATTTTGGTTGGCAATGGTTGCCAAAGTTTTTATACCACAGAGAGCCTTCAAAGTAACACAATGTATGTTTAAATCTGATCCTATCTTTTAAAACAAGAGGCCCAGGGGCTACATTGCTCACCTGAGCAATTGGCTAGGAAAAAGCACGTATCAGATCAGAACTGAAAGTTTACTGACGAGGGGGGGGGGTTCAATTTTAACCATCCAGGGGGTCATGAGATGAACAAACTTTTATCTACATTACCTAAGGATGATTCCCTATAAATATCACTAAGCATGGCTTTGAAGTACTTGAAAAGTTAATTTCTAAAGGTTTCCCTATATATTCCTATGTAAAACTTTTATTAGCCATTTGCCCCACCCTACCCCGGAGGTTTATGTTGTGAATAAACTTGAATCTACACTTCCTAGGGATGATTCCACAGGAGTTTCATCTTTCCTGTCCCAATGGTTCTTGAGAAGAAGACTTTTCCTATATATTTCTTACGTAAAACTTTGATCGGCCATTTTGGCCCCACCCTACCCCAGGTGATGATGATTTGAACTTACTTGAATCTACACTACCTAAGGATGATTCCACGTAAGTTTCATCTTTCCTGGCCCAGTGTTTCTCGAGAAGAAGTTTTTTAAAGATTTTTCCTATGTTAAACTTTGATCGGCCATTTTGGCCCCACCCTACCCCTGGGGGTCATAATTTGAACAAATTTGAATCTACATTATCTGAGAATGACTCCACAAAAGTTTCATCTTTCCTGGCCCAGTGTTTCTTGAGAAGAAGATTTTTAAAGATGTTTTCTTTATATTCCTATGTAAAACTTTGATCGGCCATTTTGGCCTCACCCTACCCCCAGGGTCATGATTTGAACAAACTTGAATTTACACTACCTGAGGATGATTCCACATGAGTTTCATCTTTCCTGGCCCACTGGTTCTTGAGAAGAAGATTTTTTAAAAATGATATTAATTTTTCTCTAATTCATAATTATCTCCCCTTGGAAAAGGGTGTGGCCCTTCGTTTGAACAAACTTGAATTCCCTTTACCCAAGGATACTTTGTAGCAAGTTTGGTTGAAATTGGCCCAGTGGTTCTTGAGAAGAAGATGAAAATGTTAAAAATTTACAACAACGACGACGACGACAACGAAGACGACTACGACAAGAACAACGACAGACAACGGACAAATTTTGATCAGAAAAGCTCACTTGAGCCTTTGGCTCAGGTGAGCTAAAAAGCACATTTTCTCATAACTAATGATCAATTTTATAAGATGTTGGTATTCTTCAAGTTTTCCACTTGAAATAATTCAGATTAGATTCTTTAAATAGAACGTTCCTATGGAAATAAGCAGAAAATATATACTTAAAAACCTGAAAAATATTTTCTTTCCTTGGATACGTACCGTATATACTCGCTTTATAAGTCGGTCCGCCTATAAGTCGGTTGTATTTTTTAAGGTAATTTTGCGGGGATTTGCCATTGACCCGCCAATAAGTCGGTACAACTTTTTGTCAGAATAAGATGACAATTTCTAACAAATGTTCTGATGTTTTAACCGTATTTCAATCAATATTTTTAGAAATTTAATCGAATTTTACTTTAAATCATAAAAAATACATTCTTAATATTAAAAAAAAAAGAAATAATTGTACTTTACATTTAATCTTAGAATACGTATATCATAATGATATGATATGTCATAATGGTATGATATATCCAGACTTTATTCAACGATAAACATGTTTATAGAATATATACTATGTTTTGCTGACCAGAAAAATTCCAATCCTTTTATGACTCGCCTATAAGTCGGACATAGACTTGTGGGCTAAAACTTAACTCTCAAAAAACCGACTTATAGGCGAGTATATACGGTACCCTTAAATGTAGATTCCGAAAAATTTTATGATTGATATTTATTAACAGCTAACTTGACCTTTAATTTTGACTATCATCCAATCTTTAAGTTGATGCAATATGTTGGCACACTTGGTTTAATATTGATATAAAGTTCACAAAATTGAACATTTTCCATTCTTGGTAACCATAGCAAAAGTGTTGTTTTATTCATCAAATTTTATCAATAATTATATGATATTCAACTTCAGTTCTAACAGATAAGCACTATTCAAGCTTAGTCCTTTTATTTGTTTATTGATTAAATGGCAAGTAAATTCTTAATTCAGCGAAAAATAATTCATTTTTAAGCACTGGTAATTTGTTTCCATGGTAACACTATAAAGTAGCAATTATACCGAATTTTTCTTATGGTTTTGGTGTTGCAATGTCCTAAGGAGGATGCTGACGTTTTTCGTACCAATTGTTAGTCCATTATTTATGCACTGAATTGTCCACGGATTTTTTCCGTTATTTCCTGATTATGACAACGAGCACACGGCGGGTGTGACCGGTCGGCAGGGGATGCTCACTCCTCCATGGCACCTGATCCCACCTCTGATGTTTCAGAGGTCCGTGTTTGCTCTGCTCTTATTTTGTATATTTGTTTAATGGACGTTGAGATTGAATACTGTTCGTTATTTCCATATCCTTCTATATTTGCTAGTCTTGAATTTTCATGTTTTTCCTCAAGACAGTAGCATTAACCCAATCTTAGTTACTGGTTTTGCATGATTACACCTGTGTTACCATGGCAACCATGAAAGTTATTTATAGAATAATATTGCTTATACTTATATACTTAAGGTCAAACATTTTCATTGTTTTTCTTAAGTCGTTGATTGAGTTTGAGCATGTTACACCTATTACTAGTGAATACGGAGTGTTTTTCAGCATATTTCAGCATTTCAAATGTATTTCAAATGTACCTTTGGTTACCACTTACGTAGAGATATATTCTGAAGAGTTTCTTTACAGTATAAGTGACATCAAGGTGTCATGATTTTTTTAGAATGGTTTTGTTTGCTTTTTCTTGTTGTTATTAAGACACATTCAAGATTTAAAGTGGCTGAAAATCTGGATTTTTTAAACTTTTCCGGCTGTTGCCATAGCAACCAAGACACATAGCAACGAAATTTTGTTTGATATTTGTTTCTGGTATCAAGTACTAAGCATGGGTGAAGTTTCATCAAAATCGGTTACCATGCGTGGCAACGATGTTTAAGTGGTTACAGAGAATGGCTATTAATTAGTTCATGCTGAATAGTTCTACAGCCAACAATGTCTCTAACATTGCACCTTTACTGTGAATCAAAACATCGTATGTGTATCATGTGACCTACTAGAATCTCCTCTGTCCTTTAATGAACACTGTATATGTATGTGTATCTTTTGTACACTTTTTTCTTACACAATTAGAGTTAAATATTTAAATCCTGTTATTACTGATAGCTTTTTGTAGATTCTGTAATCAATTTTTTATTTATTTATTTTATACGCAGGTGTGAGGGGGATGGGTCTTTCACAGTTTAATTGTATATTGTAGAGATATTTTAAATTTTATATACACTATATGTTACGTGTAAATCAATAACCATTTTTTTTATTATTATAAAATTTATCTTTTTATAAATTTATTTTGCAAAATGATTAACATGATTAATGTATTTGTATTTTGAATTAATATTGATTCAAAGATAATCTGTAATTTTCAATTTTATTCCTTCGATTTGGTCGCAAAATGATCGCAAATATTAGTACTTTGTACAGTTATATTTGAAATGATGGAGAACCCTGGGTATGGATTTATTTTTTCTTAAAATCATGACCATCTAGAGATAGGGTGGGTCATATTGGATGATCAAAGGTTTACTTCGAAATATATA